ATTTCTGTACATTAATTTTGTATTCTGCAACTTTACTGAATTCACTGATGAGATCTAGTAGTTTTCTGGTGGTGTGTTTAGGATTTTTCTATGTATAGTATCATGTCATCTGCAAACAGTGACAGTTTTACTTCTTCCTTTCCAATTTGGATTCTTTTAATTTCTTCTTCTTCTCTGACTGTTATGGCTTGGATTTCCAAAACTATGTTTAATAAAAGTGGTGACTCTGGACATTCTTGTCTTATTCCTGATCTTAGAGGAAACACTTTCAGCTTTTCCCCATTGAGTATGATGTCAGCTGTGGGTTTGCCATATACAGCCTTTATTATGTTGAGGTATGTTCCCTGTATGCCAGCTTTCTGGAGAGTTTTTATCATAAATGGATGTTGGATTTTAACAAAAGCTGTTTCTGCATCATATGGTTTTTATTCTTCAATTTGTTAATGTGGTATGTCACAGTGATTTGTGAATACTGAAAAATCCTTGCATCCCTGGGTTAAATCTCATGTGATCATGGTGAATGATCTTTTTAAGGTATTGTTGGATTCATTTTGATAGTATTTGTTGAGGATTTTTGCATCTATGTTCATCAGTGATAATGACCTGTAAGTTTCTTTTTTGTGATATCTTTGGTTTTGGTATCAGGGTGATGTTGGCTTCACAGAATCAGTTTGGAAGCATTCCTTCCTCTGCAATTTTCTGGAATAGTTTCAGAAGGATAAATGGTAGAATTCACCTGTGAAGCCATCTGGTTCTAGACTTTTGTTTGTTGGGAATTTTTAAATTACTGACTCAATTTCATTACTGGTAATTGGTCTGTTCATCTTTTCTATTTTTTCTTAGTTCAGTCTTGGGAGATTGTACCTTTGAAGCACTCTGAATAGCCAAAACAATCTTGAGAAAGAAAAACAAACCTGGAGTAATCATGCTCCCTGACTTCAGATTATACTACAAAGCTACAGTCATTAAAACAGTATGATACTGGCATAAAAACAGACACATAAATCAATGGAATAGAACAGACAGCCCAGAAGTAAACCCACATACTTAATGGTGAATTAATCTATGACAAAGGGGCCAAGAATATACAATGAAGAAAAGACAGTCTTTTCAATAAGTAGTGCTGGAAAACTGGATAGCTACATGTAAAAGAATGAAATTAGAACATTCTCTAATACCATACAAAAATAAAACTCAAAATGGATTAAAACCTATGTTTAAGACTGGATACTATAAAACTCCTAGAGGAAAATACATGCAGAACACTGATTGACATGAATCACAGGAATATTTTTTTGGATCAGTCTCCTAGAGTAAATGAAATAAAAGCAAAAATAAACAAATAGGACCTAAGTAAATTTAACAGCTTTTGAACAGCAAAGAAAATCATCAACAAAATGAAAAGACAAACTCCTAAATGAGAGAAAATTTTTGCAAATGATATGACTAATAAGGGATTAATATCCAACATATATAAACAGCTCATACAACTCAGTATCAAAAAACCAAAAAACCTGGGCTTCCCCGGTGGCGCGGTGGTTGGGAGTCCGCCTGCCGATGCAGGGGACACGGGTTCGTGCCCCGGTCCGGGAGGATCCCGCATGCCACGGAGTGGCTGGGCCCGTGAGCCATGGCCGCTGAGCCTGCGCATCCGGAGTCTGTGCTCCGCAATGGGAGAGGCCACAACAGTGAGAGGCCCATGTACCTCAAAAAAAACCCCCCAAAACCCCCCCAAAAATCCAAAAAAACAAAAAACCCAATTAAAAAAAAGACAGAAGAACTGAATAGATATTTTTCCAAAGAGGAAATGAAGATGGCCAACAGGCATATGAAAAGATGCTCAACATCGCTAATCATCAGGGAAATGCAAATCAAAACCAAAACCACAAGGAAATGTCACCTCACACCTTCATAACAGCTATCGTTAAAAAGAAAACAAATAACAAATGCTGGCAAGGATGTGAAGAAAAGGGAACCCTCCTACACTGTTGGTGGGAATGTAAAATGGTGCAGGCACTGAGGAAAACAGCCACTGAGGTTTCTCAGAAAACTACAAATAGAACTACCATATGACCCAGCAATTCCTCTCTTAAGTATATATATCAGAAAAAAACCCAAAACACTCATTTGAAAAGATATATGCACCCCAATGTTCATAGCAGCATTATTTACAACAGCCAAGATATGGAAGCAACCTAAGTGTTCATTAACAGAAGAATGGATAAAGAAGATGTGTTGTATATATGTGTATATATGTATATATGGAATACTACTCAGTCATAAAAAAGAACAAAATTTTGCCATTTGCAGCAACACAGATGGACTTGGAAGGCATTATGCTAAGTGAAATAAGTCAGACAGAGAAAGAGAAAGACTGTATGATATCACTTATATGTGGAATATAAAGAATACAACAAACTAGTGAATAGAAGAAAAAAGAAGCAGACACACAGATACAGAGAACAAACTAGTGGTTACCAGTACCAATGGTGGGGGGCAATACAGGTGTGGGGAAGTTGGAGGTACAAACTACTGAGTGTAAGATAGGCTGAAGGATGTTTTCTACAACACGGGGAATATAGCCAATATTTTGTAATAACTGTAAATGGAAAGTAACCTTTAAAAATTGTATTACTTTTTTTTTAATTTTAAAAAAAGACAATAGACAATGGTTTTACTTTTGAATTAAAACTACCTCCAGTAATACAATGAGATTTCAACCTTTGGCCTGGGATATAATAAATAAAATAGTGAATTCTATCAGTCACATGTATCAGGTCTGGCTTTCCAAAAGAAAAAATGGGAGAGAAATATTCTAGTGACATCTGCTAGAGGAGGGGTCAGCAAAATTTTAAAAACTTAAAAAACAATTTTAAAAACCTATAATAAAAGTTGTAATTTAAATAAAATAATTTGGGCTTTGCAGATCATAAAATTTCTATTGCAACTCTCAACTCTGTTCTTGTAGCATGAAAGCAGCCAAAAACAGTACCTCTGAAACTTAAAACCTTTGGCACAGCAAAGGAAACCATAAACAAGATGGAAAAGACGACCCTCAGAATGGAAGAAAATATTTGCAAATGAAGCAATTCACAAGTGAGGATTAATCCCAAAATTTACAAGCAACTCATGCAGCTCAATATCAAAAAAACAAACAACCCAATCCAAAAATGGGCAGAAGACCTAAATAGACATTTCTCCAAAGAAGATATACAGATTGCCAACAAACACATGAAAGAATGCTCAACATCACTAATCATTAGAGAAATGCAAATCAAAACTAAAATGAGGTATCATCTCACACCAGTCAGAAAGGCCATCATCAAAAAATCTACAAACAATAAATGCTGGAGAGGGTGTGGAGAAAAGGAAACCCTCTTGCACTGTTGGTGGGAATGTAAATTGATACAGCCACTATGGAGAACAGTATGGTGCTTCCTTAAAAAACTAAAAATAGAACTACCATTTGACCCAGCAATCCCACTACTGAGCATGTACCCTGAGAGAGCCACAATTCAAAAAGAGTCATGTACCACAATGTTCATTGCAGCTCTATTTACAATAGTCAGGACATGGAAGCAACCTAAGTGTCCATCGACTGATGAATGGATAAAGAAGATGTGGCACATATATACAATGGAATATTACTCAGCCACAAAAAGAAACAAAACTGAGTTATTTGTAGTGAGGTGGATGGACCTAGAGTCTGTCATGCAGAGTGAAATAAGTCAGAAAGAGAAAAACAAATACCGTATGCTAACACATATGCACGGAATCTAAAAAAAAAAAAAAAAAAAG